GCAACATCAATGCACACATCATAGTTGGAACATACACGAGCCCGAAGTGAGTGCTAGAGCAAGAGTGAAGACAAGCGAGTATGCAACTTCGTGTGGTATGTGTATGTGTACGGGTGTATGTTGTCCTGCGCGTGTGTGTACTGTATGAGTTGCAAGAATCGATCGAACCAGACTGCAACACCGCTGGGTCCAACCAAGCTGATTCCATCGAATGCTTACGCATTTAATCTCATTATGAGAAGCTGGGCTACAAACTGACAGGTCGCATGTGACCACAGCAGTGAACTGAAATCAGGTAGTGGTTTTGTGATGTAACTAATTAAACTGAACCCAACTGTGTATCCCCGATGATCGCTAATCTATCTTCCACAGTTGGACGTATCGCCTGAAGTATAATATCTAACATTTTGACCTTTCATGATCTTAGTTTCCACGTCAGGTTTGCGGGTGTTAATTTATTTAGCCTGGATCACAACAACGTACCAACTAGCTTACATAAAATTGTAGTAATTGACGCCCAAAGTAAAAGAAGCCGTTGGAGCCATCTTAGTTGCTTTACTTCAGCCAGTTGCATAGTCCTTCTTGATACACTCATGATTACACAATCAGCTTACAAGCACGACTCAGCCAAATATATCCATCAAACATTTTTATGCTTATGGTATCTACGGGCGTATTACGATATAAACCAATCCAATGAGATTTAATCTCATTAATCCAAATACATCAATCCCGAAGCAGGCAATTTCCCCCCGACGCTACAATGACTGGTCACGAACTTGGTTTAATATTCCGATCATCTATTTTTAATTGATATCAGAGATAAGTAAATCACATTAATTCAAAGTAAACTTCTCGTCGCTGGTAAATAATACTCAACCTAATTCAGTTCTTCCTGACCATGGAGTTCTGACCTAATGTACTATCCTTCGAATACTACCGCCTTTGAGGCCAGAAAAAAATTTCCGTGTTCCAGTTTAGCACCATGAGTACAAGTCACCATAATCCCTACAGTGTTTATTCGATAAACCAACCCGAAAATCTTCAAAGCCAGAAAATATTTTCATCATTTTCTTTTGCTAAAGAAGATAAAGTTAGCGCAATCATAAAACGATTCTTAAAGCCGCTTTCATGAACGCGAATCATAAAGTTCTTGAACAAAGAACACAACACTGCAAGCGGACATGATTTATTCCCGGAATAATTATTTTTTGATTACTATTTGTGAGGCACAATTTGCCGTCATTCAAACGGCTGTAAGTAGTGATAACTCACGAAATATCTATTAGTCTTGCTGATTCTCTGGATCTGAATATGGGAACTCAATAAAACTTAGGCAAAACTTCGTTTACTGGCTTGCTATATATGATAAACCGATCTCAGTAGTTTTGGTTGTAGATTTTTTCAATCTAGCAACAAGTTGAATTGTATGTCGATCAAATTCAACCATGATGGATATTTGATAATCGGACTACTCAGTGGTTTAGACACCATTTATTGTGATTTTATAAGACTCTTGGCTAGTAATTTTATTCCATTCAATGTTCTCACTGGGGAAAGTAAAATTTGCGCATCGTCGATAGGTCGTTTTTACCAGTGGTTAAACACTAATAAGAATCACCTTTCAGATTTGAATTTGAAAACCTCTGCTTTGTTGAGCAGATATAGGATTCCACCAAAATAGTATCAGAATCCAGCTTTTAAGACATACCTCCACGTGTTATCCATGCAGAATGCAACTGTATTTTCCCAGTTGTAAAGTTTTAAATATTCGGTAGTACAAATAAAATAAGCGGGTTTGATTTCCGCCACCATTTCAAAGTAATAATGAAATAAGCGTGGACGAAGCACAAGCATTCTCTCTCATACTACTTTTCCTAGAACAGCTTTTCCTATCAGTTTTCTTTATATACAATTGCCTTTCCAAGTACATCATATTCAAGCAAATGAATCATTGGTCAGGGAATAAGTGCACATATAGTGCACATACTACCTTTTGAAACCTTTCTCATAAGTTCATCTAACCTCAATCAAGCGGCGATCTTAGGTTTATTGCTTCAACTGACGCAATTTGTTAGGTTACTGAAATGTATATGAGCTAACATGTCCTACCGACAATGAATTTCAAATGGACAGACGAATTCAAATGGTACACATGAAACTAGTCCATGGAACTGAAGACCACATAAATGTGTTTGGTATCATTAGCGTTCAATTCAGACAATGGATGTTTTACTGATTTAATGGATTAATGACTCAATAAACGTAATTAAAAAACTTGCGAATTTCTCATTATCTCTTAAACTTATTGAAATTTCTCAGAAGCTGTGTAATTGTAACCATTTGGTACATTTGATCCATGGGTAAAACTGATCGCTTCTGCTTCATGCTTCTAGCGAATGATAGCAATACTTGGTTTGTTAATAGTCACGATAGGTGAAAAATACAGATCACTTTTGTGGATCTTTAAAATCGACCAGGACAAAACAGCAGTCTAGTGCTCTTTTTCGGTTATCGTAAGCATTTCCACCGCATTTAAATGCATTCAAATGGTGGGGAATTAACGATCTTCCAAGGAGTGAAACCCACACAGATCATCAACAGTGCCTAGTGTCTGTGACAAACTAAATGGGCTAATGCAAACACTGACCATCTAAATGTAACTAACTAACTAAATGTAACTAAATAGTTTCAATTTGTACCAACGTAATTCGCCTACAAGTGTCTGCAGTTAAGGAATATTATCATCCACCGTAACATCAAGTGGGTCAACTCTACCTCTTTCACTTACAAAACCACAGTTTGAAAGACAACTGTCAACTTAAAAAGACTATCATCATCAGAGTTAACTCGTGTTAGTGACTTGTTGTGGGTGTTTATTGTTGATTTTACCATGCATGATGCCATCTCCTCCGCCAAACTGAGTTTATAAAAATTGGTTGCATTTTCATTGATGCACAAATCCGCTTCTAAATAGATCACTATTTGTTATTGTTCAGAAACATTACTAGGGAGCTCTGATTAGCCAACTTTGGAAACCAATCAGAAAATATTCATTATGAAAAAATGATATAAGAATATATTCAAAATAAAAGGGCATTTTATGCTCGAGCCGAGGAAACTCAAAGCTTGAAGTGATGCAACCAAGATTTCCATGATAACAAGTCAAAATCCTTCACCTCTCTGTAGGTGCATTGCTTGTTAAATTTATCTGTTCTTGACTTTTGCTGTTTATAAGAAACCGTTTTCACATGTAGAGATAATCATTTACCATTTCCAGGGAACCGTTGAACAAAAAGAAGAAATGGACATACAGACATTGAGAAAAACCAAAGCCAAAAGCCTTGGCTGGTGGATCGAATCTGAAGCTAAACTTTCAGGTAAGTTACGCTATCTCTTTGAGTAACACCGGTTGCTGTTGTATATGTATGTGTTGTATGCAAATAGCATGCGTTTTGTTGCAAACGCTATTGTTCATAGGAGTGAGATTAGATTCATTCAGTCCGTATGCGAGCATTCCAAAGCACTACTCAAAAAACTCTAGAGACAAATCTTCTACTAGATATGCTCATAATCTTACTCCCAGCATATCTGACAATTAAATTGCTTCCCACTGAAGTTCTTGCTGAGTTACCAACACCCTGGATAACCTTGCGATCTGACTCACACAGATTCCAAGAACATTTATCTCAATTGTGTATATTTAGTGAATCAAACTGATCATTGGTGCCTATAACAAAGACCATGAGAAACATTGATATTTCTGTTTGTATTTTAATTCATCGGGGTAATTCCTTATCTGATATGGTACCACCGTTGTACGAAATCCCAGAAAGCATGATTTTACCATTGGGGTTGGAAGCAGATGATGATTCCGACTTCATCAAAGGAGACGCATGCTTGTATGAACTTCTTATTCTGATGAAGAAAGTTGCGAACAGCACGAACCAATCTAATCCGGACACTGTTGAAGTACGACAAAAGGACACCAATATTTTTTCGTAATTACAGGATAACATTTATTGCCAAACTGAGACAGCAGACTTGCGATAATGCTGAACCAGAAGACACTTTGTCTCGCTTCGACGGTTCTTCTTAATTTTCTTGTGGTGACCGCAATGATGTACGATCACTAATAATCTCACACCAGAACCTACGAGAAAACCCAAGATTAATACACTATTTGATTTTTACACCCAAAATTGGTTATTATTTCTCTTGCATTTTTCACCATCCATCTCTTAATCGATTTTAAGTTAACCAAAAAACGGTCTTAGTCGTATCAAGATGAGCCTGCAAAAGTTTCAGTATAGTTTGGAGTAGAGTTCTTGGGTTATGGCTAATCATCCTTTCCCTGTACCTCACGAAATGCTTCTTTACAACCAAGCGTTCCAAATAGCCTCCTCTGAGTAAGTTCTACTCACTGTCTTCGTGTGGTGAAAGCGTTCCTCCATCAAAGCAAGAGGAGGAAAAGCTGGCATCCAGGACCATAACCGAGTTGATGAACCACCGGCAGTTCACCAAGAGGAGTTAGCTTAAACCCTGATTCCAAAACAACCAAGAAGAGACGTACAAATCACGCTCACATGCTCCTGTTTTTGATAGTAGTCACCGGCTTAGTTGGGCATTGAGGTGTAGTCGACACCTTAGACGTTAGGCTCCGTCCAAAGAGTATAGGATTCAATGAAATGTACACCTACCCCGAATACATTGCGGCCTTCACAAACCGCTCCACTAACTTGCGGATCAGACTTTTGCTAACCTGGTGCTTTAATTGTGAATTTCCTAAGAAAATCCACCTGCCTTGAACTGAAAAACTGGGCAGTATCAAACTCATAAGCGGATCATGGAACTTCTTCCTTTTTACGAAGATTATTGATATATGATTTGCTTGGCACATGGACTCAGAAGTGTGTGAACAATATATATATGTATATACATATATATATATATATTACAAAAACCAAAGGATAAGCAATTATGTCAAATGATCACGAAAGTTAACTGTAGGGTTTACTCACATGAATAAGATACTTGTAATCCTCAACATTCTTCAAAAAGTGTCGTTCTTTACTGGCATCATCCAACGAACTAAGCAGTTCGTAAAATAAGTGATAATTGCGTTCTTTTTCACCCTAAAACAAACATGCAAGTTGTTTCAAAGTGTTGCACGAAAATGGTAACTTCGAAAGGCAATAAAAGTAAAAGCATTTCATCCATAATTTCACACACGACGCATAATTTTGTTTAATGTTCCCGTAAATTTAATCCAAATAAGATTGATCTTTCAAAAACAGACCTTAAACGTTTTTTCATTTCTTCAAGTTAAAACTCTGATAGCATAATAACCTCCAATAAAATTGCACGGGAAGTTCAAATTCTTGCTTTAAGCGACGCAAATAAAATCTCAAACTGAGCAGTTTTATATTGGTTTTGCAGTTCAATTTTATTTGATAATTTATTGAAATAAACCTAAATTCTGAAGTCAAAATATTTCAAAGTTAAAGTTTTAAAATAAACTGGACAGTCCTATGTAAAAACACAGTTTTCAATGACTTATTGTTTACTTATAACAACAAAAAATCCAAAGTCGTATAAGTAGCTTAAACAAATATATGTTTACAGTAAGATCAAATATCAACTGTTCGTAGTCAAACTACGAGGGATTTATTTTAACACTGAGGAACCGGTAGTTGCAAGTTTGCAAACGGAGTAGAAATTTATTCAAGATAAGGTTGAAATACACTTACGAGACGAACAATTCTTGACTTTTCTAGCAAGTAGTTCGTAAGTTTGGCTCCGACAATGATGGAGCTGCAAAATAAAAAAACAGGTAGGAGAAATCATGGTTTTATCAGTACAAAGATTTAGTTTTTAACACATCAAAAGTTCGTGGATATGAACGCAGTAAGTATGATGTTGTAGAAACAAACGTGTTTTAATTAGCAAACCAAATTAAAACTGATACTATTTCATAACGCTTTTCTTTGTTGTATGTTTCAAATTCATTTCGTAATGTTTGCTCCAATCTTAGGAATTTTAAAGCAGTCAGCATGAGGCATTTTAGTAAGCAACTAATAATGAGAGTGATAAATGGGAGTTCACTTTGGAGCATCATATTTCATCTCAAAGAACGCTATAAATCCCGCTTTTCTGTTAAAGCTTAGTTCCCCCTATGTCGTTTGTTACCAAGCTTACACGACGAATTGCCGTTGGCACATCATTTGGCTTTGAGGTAACTGAACACTTGAATTTGATAAATTGTCTTTCATCCTTGAGCTAAAACGAAAGGACTGTGGTTGACTCTTATAAGTGTTGAAAGTTGGGGGGGGGGGAAACAGACAACTCTGAGATAAAAATACAATCAGTGGTTGCAGAACTGATACCAGTGACGCGACCAATTTCAATATTTTGCTGAACAGTCAGTAAAACTTTTATCACTGTGAAGATTGAAAGTAAAACTAACGGATTCTGTATCTTTTTATTTGTCTCCAATATTACTTATGTTTCATGTTTTGTTATCTTTGTTTTACTTAAGCTGATGCAATTGCTATACTTGGATCGTAATACAATAACCGGCTCACGATGGACGCTTTTAGACTGCTGTACGCTTCCCGTGTCGGACCAAGACTTGAGTATGGTCGTTCGTCGATAAACTCCTGCACGGCCGGTGAACTGGCTAAGTTGGAACGTGTACATCGTGCTGCCACCAGACTCGTTGGACTACACGGGACCAGCTATGAAGGTCGTCTACAGGCTACTGGTCTGGTCCCAACTGCGTGTCGACGCCTCAGGGGAGATCTCATCTGTCTGAGGAAGATCCCGAGGTGATATGAGCCCGGAGCTGCAACAGGACTTCCCTTTACGGACAGAGCACTGCACGCGGGGGCACTCTCTTATATTGCGGAAACTTCAGTCAGTTGGTCTTCCGTTAGTCTACCGACTCTCGCGGAGGTCAGCAACACTCCGGAATTCTCTTCTAGCGATTTTGGTGGAGCAGACAGAGGCTGCTTTCAAACGGCGTCCGGATGAGCACCTGAACGGGCTGTGGAGGAATGAGCACTTTAGATCGAACTTTGGACCCAGTGGTGATGGGGCTTACACGAGCACCCTGCCCTCTGCCCTCAAGACCGAAGAATGAAGAGTGAAGTGAGTCATAAAACATGATAATATGATTTATTCCATTTATTCATAATTTAAACTCGTTTTCTGCATTATACCGAATCCAGTACAAGTGAACAATTTTCACGCTTGTTGTATTCTCTTATCAAATTTGAATCATTCAACAGGACAAGGTCAAAGGAAAGATGAAAAAATTCATTTTCTTACTTGGCCATGAAAATCTCCACGTATTTGCCAAAACGAGAAGAGTTATCATTACGAACGGTTGTTGCATTTCCAAAACTTTCCAGAACGGGAGTACTGTCAAGAACACGACGAGCAACCGAACCTAGTTCTGTTCCCCTTGGTTCGCTTGCCGCTGCCAGATATCGAGTAATTCTTTTGAATGCTTCCGTTTTCCCTGAACCCGATTCACCACTGAAAATCATGCACCAATAAAAATAACCAGTATATTCTGTAACCTTGATATTTTTAAAAGATTTCTATCCTATTGAAGGTCTACATAGCGATCCGCAAAACGCAAAGGGTGTAAACTGAAATTCACACCAGGGGTAAAGCCCTCACTATTATAATTATGACGTCAAGTTTCACACCATCTCTTGCAATTAAAATTTAAAAAATCAATGGTAATTTTAATAGAAAATTTATAACAATTCATTCTTACCTGATAACTACAACCTGATCAACCTGCTCACGTACGGCTGCCTGATAGATGGTTTCTGCTAAACCGTAAAGATGTCTGAACCAGTGAAACTTTAAAAAGGGAAACATACGGTGGCACGGTTGAAATGACCTTCTTGAAGTACAGCTGCATAACTTCCGGGCCATCGATCAAAAGATCTTTATAAGGATTCACTGTAATGACAATATTTCCTATATATGTCTGTTTTGTTTCCAAAATAATAGATAAATGACATTTACGTAAATCTGAGATTTTTTGTACCGATTTCTCAAATTGACCAGTAGTGTCATCGGTGAAAGATCACTGAAAAATAAAGGCAAATTTTACTAATCCAGCAGTGGATTATCTATGTGGTCTTTGACACGCATAGAGAATTGCGATACACATTAGCTAATTTCATCTATGCGACTCGCATACCTTAAAAGAATCATGTTATCCACATCTATTGTCCGATTTATTGTGTTATCTCGTTCAACATTCTCTGCTTGCACCATGAATGTTTTTTCCTGAAAGGTCTGTTTAGCGAACTTCCTTATCATACCTGTCCATCAACAAACGTTCTGATTTCCACACCTCGAGAAGAATACCCGACAACATCCCCAACAAGGTTTTGATGATTATTGTTGGAGAATATAACTTTCTCACCCTGGAAATTCGTATGGCCAAAAAGAATTTCATTACCACGGAAAATGTTTTCAGCATTTTTGAGTGTTTTGAAATTTCGGGGTTAGTGCTCTCTTTTGAAGGTCACATTCAGGACACGACACAGGACTTGCGGTAGAGCCAGATGGAGTCCAGTTTCTTACACCAGGTGAGCTCAATGTGGGCAACACGGTGCTTCGACAGTCTTTGCTTTCCAAATGTTTCCAAGGTTAGACCTGCAAAAGGATTACAATGCTGACGAGTCCACGGGTAACCGAACGATTTCAGTTCAGGTCAGGTTGCACAGGACGGTAAAGGCTTTCGCCTATCGAGCATCCAGATTCTTGCTCCAGTCGGAAACACGTCTTCCGGAGCTTCGAATTCTTGTCGACCGTTAGACCACAGTCGATTCCTTCGTTTCGAACTGTCTCCCTTGGCGCGTCCGTACCTGCAAAGGGAGGTTATTTGAAAATGGGCAGCATAGACACCTACTGTCAATAGCAGGTACCCTACAAGATCTCTGGAAACAGGCTCTTCCAGACCCCATCTAGCTGCCTTTTGAACTCGTCGACTGTCCTACAATTTATTAGTGAAGATGGTAGCTGGTTCCACTCATCTATCACTCTACGCGTAAAGTTAGGTCGGCTCCTGAGCTTCAGTAACTTCAAATGATGACACGTGGTTGACTCGAGCGGTGCTCGAGTAAACAGGCTTTCGGATTCTAGCCCAGTCAGTCCCTTCATTATTTTGAAGGTCTCAATCATATCGCCTCTCAGGCGTCTCCTCTCCATGGAGAAAAGCCGTAGGATTCTAACCTCTCCTTATATGACTTACCCCTTATTCCCACGATCATTCTAGTAGCTAACCGTTGCACCCTCTCGAGGCAATTTATATCCTTCTTCAAGTAGGGAGACAAATCCTGCACGCAGGATTCCAACTGCGGCCTAACTATGGCCTTATATAAAGGTAGGAAAACCTCAGCCTTCCTTGACGAAAGTGCCGCCTTNTTGTGCGGCGGCCAGGCATTGATCACTAGGCTTAAAGTCCTCGCGGACCAAAATTCCTAGATCCAGCATTCGGTTTACTCGAGGGAAGACCGTCGGTTCCGTGGTCGTAGCCACTCGAACCGGAGGCCGCACGGTAATCAGAACAAGACACTTGGTAGCGTTTAGCTCCAAGTCCCACTTCATTGTGTACCGGATAACCCTAGTCGACTTCCAGTTGATCTAGCTTCCCTGAGTTCACCAGCTTGACGTCGGTGGCAACGATGAAGGCAGCAGCCGCTGGTTCCTGGACCAGGTCATTTATAAACAGCAGGAAGAGCATCGGGCCAAGCACTGAGCCCCGAGGCATTCCACTGGATACGCTGCCTACGTTTGACAGAGCTTCTCCTACCCGAACTCTATAGGTCCGGTTTGTGAGGAAAGCTTCTATCCGTATAGTTAGAGCTATTGGGAGACCAAAACCCCTGAGGTTCATTAGTAGGAGTCGGTGAATTACCGAGTCGAAAGCTTTTCTGAAGTCCAGGTGGCACACTCCGACTTTCTGACCTCGATCTAACCTCTTCGTAACTTCGTCTAAGAAACAAAGAAGGTTGCTCAGACACGACCTCTTTTTGAGAAAGCCGTGCTGGGCAGGGCTAACCAACCTGTGTCGAGTNGGTCAAACTTACTAGTATGTAGTTACCATCTCGCTTCAAGTCCTCCGTTTCATTCGCCCGAAACTGCGGCCCCACCTGCGGCATGGCTTTTCCTTCGCAATGCATGTTTATAGCAGCAGTACACTGTGATCACTTTTGCCGAGAGGAACCTCCTGCTTTAGGTCACTGATCTCACTCTCTTGCCGCGTGAGGACCGGATTTAAGGTAGACAGACTCGGGATCCGGGACCATTGGGCGCAAGCCTCGAACCCAAGAGTCACTTCAAGACTTCAAGACTCTGTCCTAGCTGGATACTGGGATTTATTAGCTCTTGATCATCCTCCGGTCTGGAGTTTGGTGATCTGTAGACACCTAATATGCAAAAGTGTCGGCCTCTGTTTCTTACAATGCAGCCTGTAGATTGCACTGTTGGTGTACAAAGTGTTAGTTCAGGCACTTCCCACTGGATATACTGCCGACGAACGAGCAGTAGGACCCCGCCTCCTCGCTCACCCTCCCTATCGGTTCTGTAGTGGGTAGAGTTTGGAGCGGCTGGGCGTTCAACTGACATGGTTTTGGATAACCAAGTTTCAGTAAGAACCACAATGTCGCAATCCTGGTTCCTAATCGCTTGCTCACCCCATTTGTTTCCAACGCTGTACACATTCGTGTACCGCAGTTTTAGGTTGTGTGGCTGGAAAATCGGGGCTTGTGGGTGTTTATCCCCAAAGCTATCAGTGCCCTCGAGCGTAACACCCGAGGGCCAACTATGTTTCTTGACGTACCAATTTGCTATACATCCTGCATGGAGCAGTTACACTTTTTTCGGGGGACCTTACCCTGGTGGGGCTTGACGCCATTTCGATAACCGTGTCATTGATTAACGAGCCGCCCAGATCTTCAGTTTCGGTGGCCACTGAACATCTGTCGTACGTCCCTAGTTCTGGGCTTTGTCCCTGAGCCCCTACTTCGGCTATTCTAGACTCTGGGGTCTGAGTAAACCTGGTGGTCGCAATCGGCGTCGGCGTCAGGTCCACGATTTTAGTCGGGGGAGTCAGTAGTTTTTCTTGCTTCGGTGGCACCCTAGGCATTACCTGCGTAAGGGTCTTTGCTTTAGGTTTGGCGCTGAGCGGTCGCCCCACGGCCGTTACTGCCTTTAGTGGCACAATTGGAAGTGAAGTTTGGTTCCTATTAAACTAAGCTATGGGGGGCTTTGCCCCCATTGGTTGCTCCCCAGCCCTCGGGTGCTTGCTGGATCCCCCCTTGGTTCCGAGATTCTTTACCGGTTTTGGTCCTGCCGGTACCAACAGTTTCGACCTCAAGGGAGTCGAGGAAACCACCGCTGCGTAGCTCGGCTTGCATTGGTGTTCCGGTTTCTTAGGAGGACACGGTTCCGGAGAGGCCTTTACGTTGGTTACCGTGATTATAGCCTTTCCGGTTTCTTCACTGTCGCGGGTGCATGGCCCTGCTCTGAGGTCTGCCATGTACACTGCTTTGGGTATCAGGTGTGATCTGCTACCTTCCCTGAGTGACTCGCTGAATTTTCTCACAGTTAGTCCTAGACCGGGGGATTTCCGAATTCTACAAGGATGGGCCTAGCTTTTCTCTGCTGCAGGCTGCCTGCAGGGTCTATCCAGCGGCTGAGCGTTCCTTTGACCCAGCTTATCTGCAGTAGCTGGATGCGGATACGAATCTTCCCGGTCACATATATTCAATGCTGAAAAGTAGAAATGTTCATTCATAATTTGGAAAACGGCCTGGTGTTCACTACAGGTCAGTTACCACTTTCGTCTCGCAGTGCTGGGTGATACGTAGTCCCACCAATGATGTTTGATTTGGCGGACAGGACCGCTCACCCATTGCATTTGCAATTGGGTTCAGTATTAGTTATGGACCTATCAGATATTCTGCTGCCTTTCGGTCTCGCAATCGGACTGACCACAGCTTCACACAGAGCCTTCCCATTTCCACCTGTCTCCGCCTTTTGTAGAGCTTGGGCCAGTTATGGGGGAAAATCACGACCACGTGGTACACTGGTCTCCGAGTTGGTCTTTGTGCATTATCGGCTTCCAGACATACTCTTATACATGCTCACAAAAGCACAACCGCACAACGGTCTCTATTCACGGTGTTGGCGTCGAGATATCTAGCGGGCAAAATGGGTAATCGAGCGCCAAATGAGCGAGAGGAGGACAGAATCTTTGATAAGTCCTCGTAGTTGACGACTACCTCTGGAAGCTTTATAAATACAAATTTTACGGCTGCTATGTGAAAATGGTTCATTTAACATCCATGCCCTAATGTTAGAGTGAAAGTAATTCTCGGGAAGTTGTTTTATATTGTGGTAAGATGGTAGACGTGCGGGTGTGGAACAGTTGGGTTTAAAGGATAAGAGAATAGGAGTAAGGTGGTCCTAGATAAAGTTAGGGAATAGTGATGGCCACACCTTATCCAAACCGGCCTTGAATTGGAGATGAAACAACATGCTCTGGCAGCTTGTTCCATCGGTCAATGATCCTATAGGAAAAACAATTTACCCTAATGCTTTCAAGTGCCCTGGGTTTCTTCAGTTTGAGGCTATGTCCTCTCGTTGTAGAGCTCTCCTCGAGCGTTAAGAGGTGCGAGGAAGTATTGGACAACGTTTTCATCTGCATGAGTAGTTCTTAGGTTTCAGATCACTGCAGGAGAGTAATCAGATCAGCTTGTACGGTCTCCTCGTTTGAATTCCCGACTACCTTAGCGTCA